TTAAAGCTTGAGAAACTAAGATGTTTGTTTGAGTTGTTGATCTGGCGCGGTACTTTATCTAGAGATTCAGGAAAATCCGATGGAATAAATCGTTTTATTGTACTGTTAGGCCAACTCCACCGCACGACTCCAAACGGACGTCCATTTTGTCTGGTTTCTGTCCGTTTGGGTAGGGATTTGGAGTCGTGTCCGGGCCTGTCCTGGGATGCGGTGGTCGCGTGCCCAGCGCGCGGCCGCATCCATTTGCCCCATCCTGTTCGTGTATATTTCTTTGCAAGTCCTTAACTTTTTTTTATCATTCATTTTTTTATACATGATAATACATCATTACGTTTTGACTAGTAAAGCAAGGCCAAAGAAAACAAGAACCACAAGAATACATTTGAGAAGATACCCAACTTCCATAACTACTCCCTTGAGTTAGGTTAGCGCCTTCTCGATGCACTCATTGTTGATCTATGGAGGAGGCACGACGTTGCACCCTCCTTTCTTCTTCAAGCCAGAAGTCGACGTTGCTTCCTCACACGTAGTATCGTGTCTTGTTGCTTCTTCGCACGTAGTATCGTGTCTAGCCTCTAATCTAGCAACAAGTGCACTTGTCTCATCTAAAGCTTCTAGGCTAGCTAAAAGTGCACGAACATGCAATACATTTCGCTCTATCAACATATCAATGTATTCTTCTTCCCAATACCAAAACTTGCATCCGTTGTACACAATAAAACTTAAAATTAGCACCACTAGTCTAATCGAAGAGCACAAACCGAAGCTAAAAGAGCACATACCCCATCGTTTAAGCACTTGATGAACACCCATCCGGGATGCTCCGGCGTTGTAGACATGCGGCGCACGATCACACTTGGGCAGTGGTCGCACTTGATGAGGGGCAACGGTGTGCCGACAAGCTTTTGGGCAAGCACCGAGCCCGGCCAGCCGCCATTCGCGTATTTGCCGGCGGGCCACCGACGGTGCAGATCCTAGCGGCTAGAGGACGAGCCACCGCCTGCATGTGGCCTTGCGGCCCTGCCAGGGCCTTCCGGCGAGGTTCCCGGCCAGTCCATGGCGCGGCCCGGCCTCCCACAACGGGGCGAGCTCAAGACCGACTGGATCCGCCCCAAATCCGGCGGGCGGGCGCGCAAACAAGGTGGCCGTGCTTGGGTAGCTCGGCGGCGACGAGAGGAAGGGGTTGGGCAAGCGCGCGTCCGAGTTGCACGGCTGCAATGGCAGCGGGCGGCCGGCGGCGGCGAGGGGAAGCGAGGGGAAGAGTGGAGTCGATGCGGCCGGAGGGAGGGAGGGGGCGGATAGAAAAAGGCCCGTCCTGTGCCACCGACGGGCGGGCCAGGGAAGGACACGCGCAGACGACCTGTGCGTCCGCGTGGTGTCCGTTTCACCCCAAAAGCGGCGCAAACTTGGGCCGCGGATGGGTCAAAAGCGGACACAAAGCGGACAAAAGTACGTTTGAGCCCGCGCGTTGGGACGTCTCGTTTGTCTCTTTTACCCAAAACGTACGGGGACGCATAGGATAGGGTCGCGCGGTGGAGTTGGCCCCCAAACGGACGTCCGTTTTGTCCGATTTCGGTCCGTTTGGGTAGGGGTTTGGGGTCGTGTCGGGCCTGTCCTGGGATGCGGTGGCCGTGCGCCCAGCGCGCGGCCGCATCCATTTGCCCCATCCTGTCCGTGAGGGCCAAAAATGCCTAAATTTGCATCAAACTACTTCCAACCCAAATGTTTGTCTGAAAATTAAAATAGTTTTACAACCCAATTGAAATTGTCTTAAATAAAATAGTTTTACAACCAAATCGAAATTGTCTTGACTGAACATAAATTGGACCAATACATCTATTGGTTGCCAATGTGATCCCAGACGTGCTCAACCAAGTCATTTTAAAGATTCAAATGAGTGTGCCAATCACGCATCTCATGGTGGAATTGGACAAACTGTTCAAATGTGGACGGGTCTTGGTGCAGGGGCTCAATATTTTCACCTTGATAATCAAATCCTTGGTTGAAGATACTCTCATCGCGCTCATCCTCGACGATCATGTTGTGCATGATCACACAAGCAGTCATCACCTCCCAAAGCTTTCTTTCATCCCATGACAGTGCAGGGTTTCGAACGATACCCCACCGGGATTGAAGCACACCAAAGACTGGAGAACGTTGCAGCACGTTGATATCATTGTGAGAACCTGCCATACCGAAGAAAGAATGCCATATCCAAAGATCTTGCGATGCCACCGCTTCTAATATGACAGTGCACCCGTTAACATGCCCCTTGTACTGGCCCTGCCAAGCAAATGGACAGTTCTTCCACTCCTAATGCATACAATCAATGCTGCCAAGCATGCATGGAAAGCCTCTAGCAGCATTGGTCGCCAACAATCTATCTGTATCAGCGGCAGTTGGCTGCCTCAAGTACTCTGGGCCAAACACCTCGATCACAGCCTGACAAAACTTGTACATTGACATCAGACATGTTGTCTCACTCATACGCACATACTCGTCCACCAGATCGCCTGGAATACCATATGCAAGCATGCGGATGGCCGCGGTGCATTTCTGGTAAGAGGAGAATGCAAGCTTGCCAAGGGCATCCGTCTTGCACTCGAAGTATGGGTCATGAGCAACCACTCCCTCTCGGATACGATTGAACAAATGCCTTGCCATACGAAAACGGCGACGAAATTTATCCGGCTTAAAGAGCGGGGTGTTGGCAAAGTAATCGGCATAGAGCAGGGCGTGGCCTCTCTCCCTGTTGCGGTTCAGGTTGGGAGCCTTGCCAGGGAGTGACCCCCTGTACCGAGGAAGCTGCCGTTGAATATGGTCGTTCACGACCAGTGCAGCCACCACAAGTTCTTCATCATCCGACGACGAATCGTCTGATGAACAAAGGAAGTGATGGAAGAAAAACTCGTCTCCACTGTCCATACCTTTGTTGGCAAAAGGTCGAACACCTTGCGGTCGCGGTGGCGAAGCGGCCGCGATGATCACCTCGACGTAGCAGGGGATGGTTGCCGGCCGGCTACTGGCCGCTCTGGAGCTCTTGTCGGAATCTGCCTCGGCCGCCGTGGTCCGTCGCCGGCAGTCGTGTCCCCTCCGGCACCGGCAAGGACGACGACGGCCAAAACTACGGCGAAAGCGCGGGCGTGGCGGCGGCCATGTCCAGACGTGGTTTGTTATGGACGGCGGGGGGGCTGCGCGGTGAGGAGGCGGCCGGAGAATACGGCGGCGCCGGCGGCGGGGCGGGGCGGGGAGAGAGGGTGAAGCGTTGGGAAGCGGAGGGACTGCTAGTGTCCCCGACAGGCGGGCCGGGGGGGGGGGCAAGGGCGTGCGTCGCGGTCATCCGCGCGCGTCCGTTTCACCCCAAACCGAGCGCAAGTTTGGGCCTGGGATGGATCGAAAACGGACGGAATCCAGACATTTGTCCGTTTGAGGCCGTGCGCTGGGCCACCTCTTTTGTCCCTTTTACCCCAAACGGATGAAGCCGGACAGGATAGGATCGTGCGGTGGAGTTGGCCTTACTTGGGGAAGACGAAACACAGAAGAGCACACTTGCATTCGGAACGGAACGACCCTGGGATGAAGAGCGTAGCCCCTGCTCTCGCCCATCCCCAGAAAGGCACCGCCCGAAGCGAACACTCGCCTCAACATCCGATCGCCCTGTCAGTCAGTCCCGGCGCACGCCGCCGCACATGCGGCGCAGGCGCAGCGGGTGTGCAGGTGCAGCGCAACGCGTGACGGCCATTACTCCGAAATGGAACCACCCCTTCCTTCGTCCCCTCCCCTCCCTCGTGCGGCAGGCCGCAGCAGGCCCAGAGCGGCAGGCAGGCAGGCGCCGGAGAGGAGGAAGCGGCGAGGAGAGGCGCGGTGGGTGGGGACGAGCGGGGGGAAGGCATTGATTGATCCGGCCTGCCCGTTTCAAATCGGGCAACCCCGGTCGCTGCCACCGCTCTGCCGCGCCGGGGCCCCCCTCGCAAGTGCTACGGGCTACTACTACAACTGCTAGCCAGTAGCGAGCGCGCCCATCTTATCCTGGGCCCCCGGGCGGACGTGGACGCGTCAGTGTGTGTGTCAGTGTGGTTGCGTCTCTGTCCAAGCAAGCCCGATCGAGGGCCTCGTTCTGTCCCGTTGCTCCGCGGATGGCTTTTCCGTACCCCCGGCTCGGGGGACGCGCCACCCCGGCCACCGTCACGCTCGTGTGAGGTATACGTACTGCTAGTACGTGATGGCGTGCGTGGCGCTACTATTCCCCACTCGTCGCTGGCAAATTCAATTGATCACCCTGCAGCAGCCTTTTCCATCATCAAACTCGACACTATTTGCAATTGATCACTCCTGCTACCAAGTGTTTGAGCTCGATAATCATCGCTCCAACGTACTACTACTGGGGTATTGGTTTCCTTGGCATTACGGGCGGCTCCCTGTTGGGCTGGCTCGCGGTCATGGCCGCCCAGGCCAGCCCCCATACCGGGTGGGCGGGCGGACCCATCGCACATCGCCGGCACGGGACGGACAAGCGCAGGCAGAGGCTCACAAGTCACGAACCGGCCCGCACAGTCGCCTCCTGCGTCCTCCCTTGATCTTCTTTCTCTCTCATTAAACCCCACCCCACCCCACCCCACCCCTGTGGCTGCACTCGCACTCTCTCTCTAAAGTCTAAACCCCACGCGCCCTGCTCCCTCCCTTTGCTATTATTGCCCGCGCAGCGCGAGCTATATGGAGAGACTCCTCGCCTCCGCCTTCATTTCACTTCCACCACCTGCTCTACTCTGCTCTGCTCCTCCCCAGCCCACGCCCCCGCCTCCATCTCCTCGCGTCGCACGCACGCACGCACGCACTCACCTGCGCTGCTCAGATTCCTTATTACATCACCGCCGGCCAGTGCGCAACCACTGCTCCACCGCGCCTCCTGCTGCTAGCTGCCGCCCCGCCGCCGGCGCCTAATGCGGGCCGGTGGCTAAGCCTAAGCCCTCCAGTTCCGGGCGTGTAAGAGACAAAGAGACATGGGGGAGGGCGCGGTGGTGGTGCTGGAGGCGCCCAAGCCCAGGTCGCCGCCGAGGTACCCGGACATGTGCGGTCGCCGGCGCCTGCAGCTGGAGGTGCAGATCCTTGACCGCGAGCTCACGTTCCTCAAGGTCAGTCACGGCTGCGTTTCTCTGAATCTCTCTCTGACCACCGCCTCGGCCACCGCGCTACTCACCGCTTCATTGCTCCTCCCTCTTCCTTTGACTTTGCTGATCCCATTTTTAAAACAAGATCCGATTTGCCTCTCGCTCGCTCATCTACTAGTAGACCCACTGGTAGTAGTAGCAGTTGTTGGTGCTGAAGGTCGACGAACGCCACGTCGTTGTTTATTTTCTACCCTCCGTAGGTACGGTTAGGCTGTTCAATTCTTTATTAATCTACTGCTGCCTCTGCATCTGTAGCTAGTAGGGTTATTTATCTCGGCTGTGTTCTGGGGATTCGAGCCTAATGAGAGCTGCGAATGGGGAGGGGGGAGGGGAGGGGGAGGCGGCGTTGCTGCGTACCTCGGCGCAGACAATCCGGGGCCGGACAAGCGTTTGCCCTCTTTGGGTGTGCCATGGATGTACCTTTGTCGTGTTTGGTCCGGTTCCTTGCGGGAAAAGAAGGCATGGGCAGTGACCAGTGATGATGATGATGACTGAGTGGCCCTGTCAGTTGCATGCATGTATGGAAGCGCTGTCGTGTCGCCGTTCTTGCTTGCTTGCTATGGGTAGTAGCCTGGGCACGGGCACGGCATGGCCCGTGGCCACGCATTATTCCGACGAGGGCTCGCTCGTGCGTTGATGGGCTGCCATCCAGCTTTGGGG